GCCCTAATACGCTCGCTTGAACATTCGAGCTGTGATTATGTTTCCAAAATGTTAAGGAATAGCACGTAGTTGTATTTCCATCGAACAAAATTGCTTGCAGCAACATATATGGTGTCTTTGTACAGGAGTGGGCCTTCAAGTACACTGCTTCAACATATGCTCACAGATGAGGAGGAGTAGGAGGAGGAGGAGGGTTATAGGGGCGCACAGCCTTAAACGTGATTTCGTGAACAGGAAAGATTGGCGTACACAGCAGGATCAAAATGCTGTTTGGAATAAGATCCAGTAAAGCTTTCCCTCTTCACCTTGTCGAAGTACCATCGCTCCATCTCACTGTATGCTTCCGGTTGATATTCAGCGTGAAACTTGTTAGCCGAGATATGCGGGGCACTTTTCAACTGATCGGCATGCTCTCCTCCCAAAATGCACACTCCACGAACGGATTTTGTGGGACAAGTCACATTGTAACCCTCCCAAATCACATACTTTCCCAGGTAGTTAAAACGTACCTCAGAGCTTGGAGAAGGAGCGGTAAGACAGGATCCAGGAAGTTTGAGGTGCGAATTGAAGGCAAGGGTAGGGAAGAATAATTCATCCGGATGCTTGAAAGCCCCATGCTGCAAAATAGCTTTGCGTATTGGCTCCACTCTTTTCCCGAGAACCGCTTCTTCCACAAATTCACGAAGATACGCCCCGTAAATGGAGCCCTTGTACCACGCGGCCTAAAGTTGCATTAGGGGTTGAATGGAGTTCTTTGCGAATGCAAAGCCAAAACAAGTTGACAAATAAACTTACTCCTAGTGGCAATGTTGCATTCCCCACCCAATGCTTGTATTCATCAATGGCAAGCGATTCAACGAGATTGGAACCGTTGAGAGCCTTCAGCACTGCAACCAGTTCCAGATTGGTGCGGAGAGGGAAATCCTGTCCCACTAAGTTGATAAGGTACTTCCACGAGGAGTGCCTTTGAAGAGCTTGTTTTCCACAGATCACCTGTGGTTTAAGAACACTCTCGTCGCCCCACTTCACCTCCACGCGCTGGTCCAGTGGAACAAGCTCAACGTTTGGACCGAAACAAGATGCAATGCCCTCCAAAGCATCCACAAATGACTGACTTGACCGCAAATCAGCATGAATGCAGTAGTAATTGTTCGTGCGATGAATCATTCGCATCAGTCGAGCTATCTGTACTGGATC